GACTCGCTTGAGCCCAGGAGTTGGAGGTTGCTGTGAGCTGTGATGCCATGGCACTCTACCCAGGGGGATAGCTTGAGGCTCTGTCTCAAAAAAAATAAAAATAAAAAAAGAAGAAGTTCTGAGAACACATGAAGTGAGGGATGAGCAACTGGAAATGGAAAAAGTAGTATGACTACTCGACCTGTTTGGGGCCAGAACTTCCCAACCATTAGCTCTTTAGGCACTTTCTGGGCCCAAACTGAGGGCTTATACATAAGCTGTCTATTTAGTGGCCAGAACATACTAGATGCTCTCTAAAAACTCCTTTTTCTTCTCCATATCTATCCCTAGGTGGACCCTTCTATTCTTTCTTGAAGGTTCTTCTTGCTTTTCTGAAGAAGTAGACACTTCACAAGGAGGCCAGTCCAAGATGCTCATTGCAACATTGTTTGTAATAGTGAAAAACAGAAAACAACCACAATGTCCATTGGCAGGGGAATAGATAAATACATTCTGATATGGGCACCCAGTGGAATATTGTTAATACTTAGCAGCAAAGAAAATGAATCAGAGCTACATCCATTAACAGGATCGAATCTCCAGCATGTTATCTAGACCAAAAAGCAAGTTGCCAAAGGATATGTGTAATGTAGTAATGTCTGTATAAATGTTTGAAACTTGCTAAACAAAACCATCTATTGCTTTTGGAAACATCAGTATGTAATGACATAAAAATCATGGATGAGAGAGTGCACACTAACGTCACAAATTACTTCTGCAGAAGGAAAGAGGGAGGGAAATGGTTTGGAAGGGAGGCTTCAACTGTATTTGTAACACTTTCACTTCATTTTAAAAGAAGGTTCTGACTGGGCATGGTGGCTTACACCTGTAATCCCAGCATGCTGGGCCAAGGTGAGAGGATCCCTTGAACTCAGGAGTTTCAAGACCAGCCTGAGCAAGAGTAAGACCCCATCTCTACCAAAAATAGCAAAATTAGGTGGGCTTTGTGATGGGCACCTGTCGTCCCAGCTACTCTGGAGGCTGAGCCAGGAGCATCCTTTGAGTGGGGAAGTTGGAGGTTGCTGTGAGCTATGATGACACCACTGCACTCTGGCCTGGCAACAGAGTGGGATTTTGTCTCAAAAAAAAAAGAGAGAGAGAGAGAGAAGAAGGTTCTGCAAATGTTCTTCAGTGGGCAAAAGTTAAACTGTGGCACATCCATAGGTTACAATACCATTCAGCAATAGTAAGAAACAACTATTGATACATACGACTTGCATGGATTTTAAGGGCATTTTGCCAAGGGGGGAATACAAAGCCAGTCTCAAAAAGTTATATACTGCATAATTTCATTTACATAACAGTCTCAAAATGATAAAATTAGAGGGGTGAAGAAGACCTCACAGATCCCAGATCCTTGTATTTGGATTCCTGTCTTGGAGACAAAACCTTTAACGAGGTTATTAAGGCTCAGCACCTGTGGCTCAAGTGGCTAAGGTGCCAGCCATGTACACCTAACGTGGCAGGTTTGAATTCAGCCCGGGCCCGCCAAACAACAATGATGGCTGCAACCAAAAAAATATAGCCAGGCATTGTGGCGGGTGCTTGTGGTCCCAGCTACTTGGGAGGC